TAAATATTTCATGTAAATGAAAATACTAACACAGAGCAAAGAGAATTCACCAACAAAAACAAATGGTCAATAAACAAAAGGAAATTATTTCACCTATCTCACAAATGTTAACTGAGCACTTATTATTTTGCAAGCACAGCTCCAGGTGCTGGTGATACAAGCTGTGAACAAGAGGTTAAAATCTTCTCTCATGCAGTGTACCTTCAAGTTGGGAAAGAGAGAGGCATAGCAGGAAAAAAAGGTTGGAGACTGAACGGGGAGGCTGATTTTGCTAGGGTAGCTAAGGAAGGTCTCGTCAATGACCTGGATGAAGTGACGAGGTAATATGTAAGAATACCTGAAGAAGGGTATGGCAGGAGAAGGGAATGATCAAGATGCAGCAAGAAGGCTTGTGAGGTTCAGCAGAGAAAAGTGAAGGGGGTGGAAGAAGAGATCAAAGAGGCAGGAAGTGGGCACACTTTATCCTCTCTCCGCAAACTCACACATCCGAAACTCTGATCTCAGCTAATGACCTTAGTCCCATTTTGCTGAGAAAATAGAGGCAATCAAAGTGAACTTTCAGAGGTTCCTACAATAAAAGTTTACTCTATAGTGCAGGAAATAATTATTTTGGAACTAGACAGTTGAGTCCAAAATCCTATAAGCTGGCTGGCCTTAACTAGGGGGTTAACTTAACTTCGCTGTGTGTCAGTGTACTCATCTATAACATGGAGGTAATAACCATACCTACCAGAGGGCTGTTGTGAACATCAAATAAAGTAATATTGGTAGAGTGCTCAGAACAGTGATTGACACACAGTCAATACTGTGTGTGGGTTTATTATTACCTAAACAAATGAACTGTCCATGCTACAATCTAAATCAATCCCCTGACTGGTCTAATGAATCTTATCTCCTCTTGCTGCCATGTGGACATCATTCTAGTAGTACTCCCTTTCTTCCCTGCTTCATACAATTTCCCCTCCTCTATTGGATAGTTCACATCAGCATGCAAACATCATAGTACCACTCAAAAACAACAAGATGTTTCTGCTTTTTATGTCTCTGTACAATTCATTCACCTCACAATAGCCAGAGTGATCTTTTAAAATTTAGATTATATGGGCCGGACATGGTGGCTCACACCTGTATTCCAGCTCCTTGGGAGGCTGAGGTAAGAGGACTGCTTGAGGTCAGGAGTTTCAGATCAGCCTGGGCAACATATACCTGCTTCTATAATAAAATTACAAAAAAAAAATTTAGATTATGTGATTCCCCTTCTTAAAACAATTTAGTATACTAACAGAGACTTACAGTTAAATAAATCTAACCAATCCTTACTGAGGCCAGAATCTTTTTAAGCAAAAAATGTAACAAAATACATCCATGGAAAAAGGTAGTGTATAAAAAAAAGTGATCTGTAAAAGGAATATCTGTAAAGGAAATTTCACTTTCCATTACTTATAATGTCAGAGAATTGTTCCCATAATAAATTTCCTCCAGAAGGTTTAGTTGAGCACTTCATGTGAGAAAGAAGCTAAGAAAGTTCACTGGAGGGCAGATGGATGTGGTCTCAGTACTGGCCAGATAGGAATGGTAAGCGCCTTAGTGATTTAGTCTTTTGTAGCAAGTTCCTGCTTCACTTGCCCATAATCAGATGCAGTCCATTAAGGATAATCTCCCTCTAGGCTACCACATTCTGAGCTGCTTTACAATGTTACTTGTAGAATTACAAAAAATAAAGGGAAGACCACTAGGACTCAAGATTCTGCCAGGCACCACTGGAAAATTAGCAGATTTTTCCACTATTTCATTTCATTTTCATCTCAGTAACGTATTCATCCTAGAAGCATATTATGTTTTAAAAACTCTCATTTGATACCGATTTCCTTCGATTTCCTTCTAAATTACAAATTTAGAAAAATTACAAATTTAGAAGGAAATCCAAGGAAAAATCATAAAAAATAGAAGAAAAAAATTATAAAAGATCACTAACACTCACCCTGGCACCTAATCTGAGCCAAACACCAGGTCTGGCATCAATGAACTCATTTCCTCCATATTTCAAAGGTCCATAAGTTTAGCTCTATGGGATTGCCTAGAGCAAAAATGTTATAAATGTACCTAAGTCCATCTGGTTTACAATGTTTTTGTCCTGTTTAACTACAGAACTTGAACTATACACCCAAACACTGGTGTGCCAAATTCATTATATCTTAAATATTTTGGAAAACCAAGGTCTATATCCTTAGATAATGACTATATTTCACTTCCAAGGTACTAAAATCCAAAATTATTTTGACAAATTAATAATTAAGGCAACACTGTGGTAATAAGTCAATATACCAATGTAGGTCATCTGAGTTATTTTATTTCTACATTTTAGGTCAACTGAGTTATTTCATTCCTACATTTTAAAAATTACACACTGGCCAGATACAGTGGCTCATGCCTGTAATCCCAGCCTGGCCAACATGGTAAAACTCCATCTCTACTAAAAATACAAAAATTAGCCATGCGCAGTGGCACGTGCCTGTAGTCCCAGCTACTCAGAGGCTGAGGCAAGAGAATCCTTGAACCCAGGAGGCAGAGTTTGCGGTGAGCAGAGAGATTGTGTCACTACACTCCAGCCGGGGCAACAGAGTGAGACTCTGTTTCAAAACAAAAAAATTTAAAAAATAAAAATAAAAATTACAAACTGGTAAAATTTGAACCAAAGTCCAAGTCTCTTTAAGAGTACCCCCTATAGATCCTTATATCTGGAGGGTACACAAAAAACTCTCCTAACTTCTTTCTGACTCCCTTATGGGAATCTATTTCCCTAAAGTTATAAGCATGTTTCTATCTATCCTTAAAACTGTCCCCCCGGATCATGAGTACAAAATGTAAACATTTAATATATTCTTCTTTGTATCTTCTGGATACTGTTAAGTACAAATTTAGTTTTTGCTGGGGAGGAAAAGGTTCAGAATTGAGTAAGAACTTCTCATTAAATCCACCTATTTGAGCATATAAATGATATATATCTAACATATTTTAAAAGTCCAGTTATACCATCGATAGATTAAAATGTAAATTATGGGAAAACTGTATCATTCTCATATATTTAAATATTTTGTTACATGCTGAAAGTCATATGGGAGGACTGGGTGATTCTGCCGCTCAATAATTGTTGAGTGAATAGCCACGTACATGAATAGGGGCACACAGCTTTGTAATGTGCCTTTGAAAAGCCATGTCCAGCACAATTTAAAAAGGACACACTCCTTTTGTGGCCCAGGCTGACTGTGTGGCTCTGCTGCTTCTCTCTTTCTCTGTCTAGCCTACACCGCTGCTCTTGCTGCATGTTCTATGGTTTTGTATCCAGCCTGGCCTTCAGATATATACACACCATCTTTCTCCATTTTCAGCTATCCTGACCTGTACATTCCCCTTAAATTTGACAATTCATTTAATCAACTGCCTTAGGCAGTAACCTCCTACACGCAGGCCCTCCAATGATCTGTTTCTAGGTCCTTACCTTATCTGCTCATACAGATTATCTGCACTTCCACAAGTGAATGAACAGTATAAATCCATAAACGAATCAGGCAAATCCCTCATCTTCTACCACCAAATATACAAATTTACTTGCATTTGTATTTACATTTATTACCCCCATTTTCTGTATCTTAGTAACTTCTTTTCTGTTGAAGCAATCCCAAAGGAAAAAAAAAAAAAGCTCTAAAAGTTTGTATCTTTAAAAAAAAATAGCTTCTCCTTACCTACATTCAGGTACTGCTCCACGTTTCTGCTCCCCTTTACAGTGAAACCTCTGAAAAACGATCTACATTCTTGGTCTCTACTTCCAGACCTTCATCTCAAACTTTAACCCATACTAATCTGCTGAAACCTCTACCACTTCACCAAGTGTCAGAGCCACTACGTTAATACTGTTCCTCCTATTTACCAGCTGCTCTTTCTTGGCTTCTTAAGCTTTTCCCACCTTTTCAAGTAGCACGTCCTCTAGTATGACAGAGTAACAGTGCCTCACGTAGACTTCATCTGACCTCAGGGCCCATCCTGTATCCTAGTCTCTTATCACTGCTCTCTACTCCCACTGCCATGGTTTGAAGTACCAAACACCTCCATTTGTGTATCTAATTGACATCTCAAAGTGATTATGCCACAAATAGACCTATTTACTTTGCTTTCCACTCAAACTTATTGTTCCTACATTTCTTCCTAACTCAGTAAATGGAAGAACGTTCTTTCATAGACTTAAACCAAAAACAGGAGTTACGCTAAATTTCCTTCTGATTTAGCAAGCATACTTCCAAAATATATCGAGAATTCCATTCTCTTCTCTGCCCAATTCCATGAATGGCAGCTAAATAACCATCATCTTTTGTCTAGACCTCGGCAAAGTCTGGTCTCCCAGCCCTCATCAGTCCTCAAACTGTTTTCTTTTCAGGCTCAGAGTAAAATGTTAACCTATACCAGATCATGTCTCATATTTGCCTGAAGACTGTTTGGGTTTTCCACTGTCAGTAAAGTAAAATCTAAATTTGCTGTCAGGACAACAAAGCCCTTGCAGGGGTAGCTTCGGCTGTTTCCAGCCTATCTTCATACCAATTCCCTCTCTAACAATGCTCCAGCCACACTGATGTCTTTCAATTCTTAACACCACATAGTGCATTGTTTCTCACCTTGGAGTCTTTCTACCCACTTTCCCCATTTGCAAATGCTCTTCTCCCAGCTCTTCATGCCTGACTCCCCATTCCACAGGTCTCAGCTCTAATGTCATCATCTCAGATAAGCCTTCTTTGCCTACCCAATGTATACTCCCATGTCTCCTACTTCTACCCAGTTATATCTTCTATTTCTTTCCTTTAAAACATTTACCATACTCTCATACTATTTATCTGTCTGACATATCTTCCTTCAAACAAGACTCCATGAGGGATGCAATCCTGCTTGTATTACTACTGTATCTCTAGCCTAGCAGAGAGCCCAGCACCTGGTAAGCAATCAAAACAGTTATTATAGAATGAATAAACAAACATGGCAAGACACTAGCTTTCTGTCCTAAATTTTACGTAAAAAATTCTTGCCTTGCTGTTTTTCATTATCCAAACAAAACAAAACCTATCACAAAACACAAAAATAGAGAAAACTTAAGCCTAGATAGAAACAATTACCCTTTGAGAACATTCTGAAATCAAAAGAAAATTAAAAGTAAGCAAATTTTACCTACAACTTTTTTCTGTGGAACTCCTGATAATAACTTTAGAGAAAGCATATGCTGAATTTAAATGTGTTGATTCCAAGAAACTGGCTACCCCAAGCCGTCAAACCATTTAACTTACTCTTTGGATCCTATTCTGAGTTCTGTAATTTGACCCGATTTCACATGCCAAAGGAAACACTTTGGATAGAGAACAAGGAAATTATAATGCTTAGCATTTCACCATTATAAAGTTAGTTTCCTGAAACCAGAGGATAAGGCTAAAATCCATCATCTTCTAGAAATCACCACTCAGGTATGATAAAAAGCAGAATATGCTAAGTTTCCACTTCTCTGTCCAATTCCTAAGAATCTTACATTCTATAAAAGACTTATTTATCTTAATCTCCCTCTCATCAATAAAATGTCAGTACTAAATAGCTGTAACAATCAGGAAATAATTTTGAGCAATTCTGACTTTCCTGTTGAGAACTATTCTGGACCACTAGTCACAAGGGAAAAAAAACAGGGAAACTTCATAAAATCCTTCTCTTTACAATGCCAGTTTGGATTGCTCCAGGAGCAAGCCTTTTGGGGTTCTTGTGTGTGGTATAAAGATCAGGGGAAGGCAAACTGCATGAGAACAAATGGTAAGTGCTTACAGTGATTTCTGTACTGACTTAACCAAGTATGGCCTGAACCTTACCAAACACATTTACACATACCATAGAGGAAAGAAAGAATGAGTGGTGCATATGAGATGGAAACAAGGCTCCCTGGATATAGGAAATCAGGTACCAGATAATTTAGGGATTCAAGGCAAAAGAGGAGTAAGGAAAGCTGGCTTTTTAGCTATAATTAAGCATAAAAAGTACAAAAGGGATCAAATGAATCATAGATGCTTTTGTATATTTCAGTAGAAAAAGCCTTTATATGATAATTTCATGCATACATTTAAAAAAATTATACACATATCAACATGCAAATAGAAACAAATTTGTTTCATACTTTTAATTCTTCATAGACTTTGCTGAGAGGGACCTAGAATGGATGTGCTATTAAAAATCAGTGAAAGAACATAAGAAAATGATTATTCCTCTATTTCCTCTCATTCTTTTATAGAGTCACTTTGACTGGCACTAAGGATATTTCCCAGAAAGGAATCCCCAGTAAACTATTAACCACAGCATCAAAAGCCACCGATATTAAAATTATTCCCTGTATGTAGAAGGGACAAGCTGACACTTCCCAAACAGATCAATGATTGTATGCCACAGGACAGATTTGCTTATAAATCACTAAGGAAGCTACATAAACACTAGCAATTTTAAATGAATGATTAGTTTATATTGCTTCCATGCATCTCACCTTTTTCTTTAGATTCCAACTGAAAACTGCAGGTATGAGCTGGCTTACCTATTTTTTTAATTTCTTCAGCAAAGTATGGGTCATTCATATCAACATCAGAGGGAAGTTCCTCTTCACTGGCCTCTTCAGCAAGAGACTTAAAGTTGAACATAAAAATAGAAAGTTGAATTATTATAAGCATTATAATATATGTATGCAAAGAAAGACTGTATGCATTTCTTTTAAAAGAAGTAGTTCAATCTAAAAGTAAACCAGTATTTAAATGGACCAGTTTATAAAACAACTCCCACCTAAGTAATTCTGTTTGTTCAACAAATAATTACAGAGGCTGGGTGCAGTGGCTCATGCCTGTAATCCCAGCACTTTGGGAGGCCAAGGCTCACTTGAGGTCAGGAGTTTGAGACCAGCCTGGCCAAACTGTGAAACTCCATGTCTACTAAAAATACAAAAATTAGCCAGCTGTGGTGGCAGGCACCTCTAATCTCAGCTATTCAGGAGGTAAGGCAGGAGACTTACTTGAACCTGGGAGGTGGAGGTTGCAGTGAGCCGAGATGGTGCAACCGCACTCCAGCCTATCAACAGAGTGAGACTCCATCTCAAAACATATATATACAGAATACTTAATAAATGCAGGAAACCATGTAGGCTTTTGGGGAGAAATGAAGGTTATAAGGTACATGGTTCCTGCCCTCAAAAATTTTACCATCTATTAAAGGAAATCAGACACACAAACACATAAATAGACAAATACATAAATAAAAATAACTCAAGATAGGAAGGGTTAGGAGAGACAAAGTGATGCAGACATTTGAAGGAGAAGATCTGAAGGAGAAGAATACTTTTAGATGGGTGATCAGTAATGAGAGGCGGCCTCTTGTCTCATAAAATGGAAAAATGACAGTGACTGAATAACTTGAAGTAGTACATGAGAATTATCTCTTAAATTATTAGTTATAACAATTTGCTGGTTTAAAGAAAATAATTTTTATTATGAAATTTAAAAATGTACATAAAATTAGTTTAGTTGGATCTTTGGGCTACAAAAAAAGAATCAAAAAAAAAAAAAAAGAAAAAGAAAGAAAAAAATAAAACTAGTTTAGGAAAATGAAATGAACCCCATTCTCATCACCCAATTTCAACAATTATCTTGTTTTATCTATATTCCACCCCTAAAAACTGTTAGGCTATTTTCCAGTAAGTCTGCTGGTTAAATTTTTCCTAATCTAATTTGAACAGACTCTTTACTAGATTAGCAAATTTAAATAAAGCAATCAAATCTATAAAATAAATAAAATGGCTGCGCGAGGTGGCTCACACCTGTAATCCCAGCACTTTGGAAGGCCGAGGTGGGTGGATCACAAGCTCAGGAGATTGAGACCATCCTGGCAAACACAGTGAAACCCCGTCTCTACTAAAAAAATATAAAAAATTAGTTGGGCGTGGTGGTCCCAGCTACTCAGGAGGCTGAGGCAGGAGAATCGCTTGAATCCAGGTATCAGAGGTTGCAGTGAGCTGAGATCATGCCACTGCACTCCAGCTTGGCGACAGGGCAAGACTCCATCTCAAAACAAAACAAAACAAAACCAATATAAATAGAATATATGTGAACTAAGATCAGGCTAACCAGACTGGGTTTATCTCTAAAAATCTAAAACATCTCAAGTTATTTTAACACAACTATTTAGAATACCATTATTGCTAAACATCCTGCATGCAAAAAGACTCTTACCCTAAAGAATATTTGACATTAATGTCTTTTTAAGACCAAGTGCTTCTAATAATTTTTTTTTTTTACCAAACTATTATATGGATTCAGCTGTAACATGTTTTTAACAAAGAATATTTGCTATATATCTACTCACACATTTCCTTAACTGCTTTATAGATTTAAACAACAGCTAGATCAAAATACTAGATATCACTATACATAACATGTATTCATTTCTTCAGTAATAATTTTTCAGTATCAAAATTGAAACCATTGAGGAACAAAGGGGCAAAAATATTTTTAACTTGAAGAAAATTCTTTTATCCACAAAGCACTTGCGGAGTCGGAAAGGATCTGTTGGAGTCAGGTCCAGTACAGAGTACTGTAGGGTCTAGAACACCCTGGACACTCAACAATGTACTTTGAATGCTGGTGATAAATTAACTCAAATGAACGGAAAACATAAAAGCACAAGACCAAAGCTCTCAGCAAATGAAAATCAAACACAATAGCTGCTACAATTCTCAGAGTGACTCTTTTATTGACCCCATAAGGACCCACTTGAGACATTTCCAGTAAACTGATAGCTTAACACTTATGGAGTTATTTCATTTAGAAGATATTTTACTGCCTACTTAGTTTTAAAAGAAGTTCTAGGGAAGAAGAAAGTTAGGTACACATCAATGGGAGCAGGGCTCTTACTCCATGTGGTGTTATGATGTCTACTGGTTTTCATCCATGGTGTTTGGCTTGGAACTTCCACAGCCTTTACTATAGTCTTTTGTTCAGCCTCAAGGGCAGGACTGTACTCTTCCCTCAACTTTCTGATTGTACATTTTAAGACTTTCCTTATAAAGGGTCCTGTCCTGTACTCTGTGGGGAAGGAATGCTGGCATCATGAAGCTTCCATAAAAACCCAAGAAAATCAAGTTCAGAAAGCTTCTGTATAGCTGGACACATGGAGGTTCTGAAGGGTAGAGCACCCAGGGAGGCATGGAAGCACCACACCCCTTCCCCCATACCTTACCCTATGCATCTCTTCATTTGTATCCTTGGTAACATTCTTTATGATAAACCAGCAAATATGTGTGTTTCCCTGAGGTCTGTGGGCCACTCCAGCAAATTAATTGAAACTAAAGAGGGGATCGTGGAAATCCCAATATGAAGCCAGTCAGTTAGAAGTTCTGGATGTCCGGACTTCAGACCACTGTCTGAAAGGGCGGGGGCAGTCTTGGGCACTGAGTCCCCAAGCTGTGGGATCTGACACTATCTCCAGGTAGTGTTGGAGTTGGAGGATACCCAGCTGGTGTCTACTGGTTAGTGTGTGGAGAAAACCTCCTACCCATTTGGTCACAGAAGTCTTCTTCTGTATTGTTAGTTAGCTGTAGTGTGAGAGCAAAGGAAAAACAACAGTCTGAAAGAGTTTTTCCCAAAACACCCAGTTTCTCCATTTTACTATCCATTTCTGCAAACACTGACTACAAAAGAAGTACAAAAATTACTCCACTGCATCATTCAGCTTTGCATATCTCTCTATCTTTACAGCACTAAAAGTCAAAGCTGTACCAAGAGCACACAGTATAGAAATAACATAGCAGAGAACAGAAGAAAGAACACTTGTCTGAGTAACTGTGGATTTTGGTCTCAGCTTGGCCACTGGTATGCTATGTAACTTCAGACTAATCAGCTAAGGTTTTTTACAACTATAAAACAGAGTTGGACTAGAATTAATAATTTTAAGATTCCTCAAGTTGCAAAATTTTGTGGTTATCAGTGATAACGCTATAAGGCACACCACTGCCAGAACACTGCATTTCAGTGACATGACCATTTTAGACTAAAGGCAAAAACCCAAGTGATCTGTGCTACTACTGAGGACTCTAACTCTGAAAAATATGTTATTCCCTGAACAATGTGAGTCAAATCATATTGTCTACAGATACCATATTAACACAGAGGAAACACTTTTTTTTTTTTTTTTTTTTGAGACAAAGTCTTGCCCTGTCGCCCAGGCTGGAGTATGGTGGCGTGATCTGGGCTCACTGCAACCTCTGCCTCCCAGGTTCAAGTCATTCTCCTGCCTCAACCTCCTGAGTAGCTGGATTACAGATGTGTGCCACCACACCCAGCTAATTTTTGTATTTTTAGTAGAGACGGGGTTTCGCCATGTTGGCCAGGCTGGTCTCAAACTCCTGACCTCAGGTGATCAACCTGCCTTGGATTCCCGAAGTACAGGGATTACAGGCATGAGCCACTGCACCCAGCCAGGAAATACTCTTGATAAAGGAATTTAATGACAATAAGGTGATAAACGAGCCATATGATAATACTGCAAGGTGAAAAACACAGGTTGAGAGATGGAAAGTATGGCATAATTTCACTCATGTTAAAAAGCTCTATGTGCATATAACCTCAAGGAACAAAGTCTGTATGCACCTCTCTTGCTCAAAAACACACACAGAACAGAATCATACTGCTTATATCAAGACATTAACTAAACTGTGCGTTTTATGTAGGTGGCACGTAAATGTCAGAATGTAGCAGTGGAAGTGGTTCTGGACTATGACCAGGCTTTGTATACCCTTATGTCGCCTTGCTGAAAACACTTAGCTTACTGAGTTCTCGCTTTCCTCTTTCTTAAAATTGGGATGATAACAAGGCCTACTTCAGTAAGTAGTTACATTTTGAGATAATGGATGTCAAACATCTGGTGCCATCTGATACATGGTTGGTGTTCAATGAACATTTGGTCATAATTATCACTGATACCTTCTGTTTCTTTTTCAGTCTTTTTTTTTCTTTCTTCTTCTCTAAAAATTGCTCCCAAGGAGTTAGTTTATCCTTGCCTTCCAATTTGTTCTTGACCATCTCTTCTGCACTTTCTTTAAGACCTGAGGAAAAATTCAAATAGTTTGGCTTAAAATGTCTTATTGTCTGGCAATCACTTAAACATGTAATTTACAAAAACAAACATAATTTATGCATATTTAATAGAGTAACAAAGATAATATGCAATGGTAAATATCTGTACTACCCCAAAATCATACAGTGACATAAGACCAACTTCTATAAAAGTTATTTCCTAATAACAAACAATAATAAACCTAACCAAACAAAATCAAAACAAACCAACACACAAACCTAGCAACTTGATACATGGTCAAGCCACTAAAGAAAAATATTGTATTCAGGCCCAGGCTTCATTTCTCTAAACTTTTTTGTTCTGAGCTGCTAAGAAAATTTCTGAACTAATTCTTCTCAGAATACGAATTAATTTTTGTAGCAAAAGACAAGCGGTTTCTCTTTATCCCCACTTGCTTCTGTCATCTAGGTGAAAGCCTGTGTTCTCTGGGAACTACAGGTTTCTTTTCTTTCTTTCTTTCTTTTTTTTTTTTTTGAGACGGAGTTTCACTCTTGTTACCCAGGCTGGAGTGCAATGGCGCAATCTTGGCTCACTGCAACCTCCGTCTCCTGGGTTCAGGCAATTCTCCTGCCTCAGCCTCCTGAGTGGCTGGGATTACAGGCATGCACCACCATGCTCAGCTAACTTTTTGTATTTTTAATAGAGACGGGGTTTCACCATGTTGACCAGGATGGTCTCGATCTCTTGACCTCATGATCCACCCGCCTCGGCCTCCCAAAGTGCTGGGATTACAGGCTTGAGCCACTGCGCCCGGCCTTTTTTTTTTTTTTTTTTTAAGAGGGGGTTTCACCATGTTGGTCAGGCTGGTCTTGAACTCCCGACCTCAGATGATCTGCCGGCCTTGGCCTCCAAAGTGCTTGGATTACAGGCGTGAGTCACCACCCGGCTTTTTTTTTTTCTTTTTTTGGAACTACAGGTTTCGAACAAAAATTATTATTAAGGAATCGCTGTTGAAATATCCCATGAACAAAGGATTCTCAATCTTTCCCTAAGTACTCTGTGAAGCCACACAGTTAAGATCAAAAGGACCACCAAGTTCAGATTCTACTTCATATGGTTTAGTTCTTTCAATGCTACTATTTGCTCTTATATTTCATCTCAAAAAGTCTTTGTTCCTATAGTCTGCTGTTCCCAATTCACGTTTCTAGGTGTCTTACGCAATAACTAGAGAGAAGTAAAAAGTGGGAGAAAAAGCCCTAAGACTGACCCATCAGTTTACAAAGACCCTCATTATTGCCAAAGTAAAGGAAATGTAAATACCATGTTGTCCCCTTTGATAATAAAGATTTTTTTTTTTTAATTTTATAATAGTGTTTAGAGGACATGGTTGGGTGGATCTTCAAATATTTAGATGACACAAAATCCATTTAAAAAAAATGAGACATGATCGATCCAGATTATCTTCCCAGATATATTCTAAATTCTAAGAAAGTAAAAACAATCCTAAATATGTTAATTCTCTATCACTGATGAGTATATAGAGACTGAGAACATTTAGTAATTTGTCTAAGAACATGGAGGTAGGAAGCTGCACAGCTAAATTTTGAATTCCTGGTCATCTTCTCTACTATTACCACATACACCTAAAATGCTAGTTTGACCTACAGAATGAAGAAATACACAGCTCAATAATAAAATCTAAAACTTTGGGTTTCTGGTTCCTTATCTGCAAAATGAATGGTTTAGATCAGAAGTATGCAACTCTTTCCTCCCACATGCACCAATTTTCCCCCCTCAAAACATTTGGTGAAAGTCCAAATATATAAAAAAAACTAAAAGGAGTGCTTTTGGGCCTAGAGCTTCAAAGAACAGTTTGAAAAAGCTGAAACAGATCTCTAAGACCTTCCTTTGTTTTTAACCCAAGACTTAATCTCCAAATTTCTATAGCTTAGAAAAGTATTAATATTAACCTATACGTACAACCAAGGTAATATAGATTTTTTTTAAATAACATACTGCTGTTAGGATGATTCCCCGCATCCCCCAACAAAATATTTGGTAAACGTCCAAATATACAAAACAACTAAAAGCAGTGCTTTTCTGCCTTGAGCTTCAAAGAACAGTTTGAAATAGAAATAGATCCTTAAGACTTTCCTTGGTTTTTTAACCCAAGACTTAATCTCCAAATTTCTATAGCTTAGAAAAGTATTAATATTAACCTATATATACACGCATGGTAACATACATTGTTTTTATGACATACTGCTGTTAGTATCTCTAACTTACAAGATGCCAAATCAGAACAATTCTCAATTCAAAATGTTTCTTATAAGAAAAACACAATTCACTTTAGTAAACAGTTTTCAGGAGAAATATGTAATATATAAAACCATGTTTAGATTTCTGATTCAACAGATAAACAGCACCTAAGAAATGTAAACTGGGATCTTCATTTGAGAGAAAGCAGCGAATTCTGATAAAACAAGTTGATTTCAAATAACAAAATAATTTATGTGTTATGCCTATAGGTCAACAATCAGTTCAGTCTAAAATTTTAAATGTACAGTACTATATTATTATATGTGAGGTTTAAATAATACTCTTTGAGGTATTCTACCGTAATTTCCTCATATATTAAGATTTTATTACTTAAAAATACTAATACAGAAATTTTTCACCAAAAAAGTTATTTTCTGATTTTGATCCAAGCTCTACTTCTAAATCACCATGATGCTAAGGAGGTCCTGCACTGCTGTCTCTCAGGTGACTAAAGCACTGGGTTGATGTGTCAACCTTTTTTGGAGGCATGGATAACCTGAGATATTGACAAAAGTTATGGACTCTCTCCCTGGAACACTGTACTGGAAAAACTTGTGTACAATGTTCAGGAGGTTTATGACTATCCAAATATCATCTCTGTGTAAGGATCCAAGAGTTTAAGGTAAAGAACATTTGTAGGAGATGAAGAGGTCTAGCCTCAGGAAAGACAAAAGACCATTCCCATAACTTTGAAGCTTACCAGCACTGACATTTGCAGGTTCTACATCAGGGTTTCTCAATTTCAGTATTATTGTCATTTTGGACAGATAATTATTTGTTGTGATGGGCTATCCTGTGCATTGGAAGTGATTTAGCAGTATCTCTGGTTATCCAGTAGATGCTAATAGCCCCAGCTGTAACAATAAAAAATGTCTCTAGACACTGCTAAATATCCTCTTGGGGGGGCAAAATTACCTCTAGTTAAGAATCACTGTTTTAGACAACGATTAAAAATCATTTCTAAAAAAAAGGGGGCTATGTCTTTATTTGAACCACATAAGTGAGGCTATTTATTTGGTGCTTGATTATATAATGTCTTCCCACTTTATAAGTTTCATCTGAGCAGTCCTTTCTTCTAACGAGACCAAAAGCAGCTTAAAGTCACCTTCTTTAGTATTCCATAATATTTAGCATAGTGCCAGACACATAGTAAATACTTTAAATAAACACTTAATTGATCTGTCTTAAAGGAGGAATTCTTATTTCAAGCCAACTGTTTGATCTTTCCTATTTGGAACATATTCTCTCCAACAGAAAATGAATCAAAACTTTAGGATCTAAATAAATGGCCTTGATCCTCACATGGTTAAAAAGAAAAAAAGAAAAAGACCTATAACTCTAAAATAATTCACGAAATGTTTATTCTTAGGAAATAATATTTTTCTGGAACTTTATTTACAACAATAAAGAAACAGTATCTTCAGTTTAATACAGTCTGTAATTTTTTTGCCTGGCTCTCACTTAATACACCCAAATAGTAGCATAAGAAACACACTGCAATGAATTCACACACCACCATGATAACTTAAAAAATGCTTTGTTCTTGTTGTCATCATGAGGTCATTTAAATCTCTTGCCACAGATTACAGTTGTTTATGTTCTAAGTTCTTAAAAATATGCCTATTCCAGAAGCCTCTTGGCCCAAGCACAAGAACATTCTTCAGAGACAGTTTTAGCCTCATTTGAGAGCAGCCACTATGTGACTGAAAAAAACTTCATTATAACTGTTTTTAGTTTTGCAGAAATTTGTTTTAAAAAATTTTAAGTGCATATCCAAGGACTTCTAAATTAGTTAAAAATAACGTCAATAATCCTACAAATAAAGTGCAAAAACCTCTTTCGAAGCTAACCACAGACACAGATGACTCAATTATGACAATAATAATTTAAGCACAATCCATTCAGAAATATTCTGGCAGTCTGCATACATATAAAAATACTTTTAAATATCCTTGCAAAACCCACCAAAATAAGAGTATATATTCCTCCTACCTAATTCATTTGAAATATCTGAAGTCTTCAAAGGACAGGAGATGAATAACATAAAATAACTCCACTAGGTATTATAACTGGCTTTGGTCATAAAAACAAAATGTACATTTAAACATTTCTGATATAGGCTAAAATCAGCACACTTTATTTAAATCTGACTGCAACACCCAATTCCAAAAGTAGCTTTTAAAATCTAACTCGCTACCATCACTGCCATCACTCCGAATATAAGGCTTCTTTAAAATTTTGAGACGTAGTTCTTGTTGCCCAGGCTGGAGTGCAATGGTGCGATCTCAGCTCACTGCAACCTCTAGCTCCCAGGTTCAAGAAATTCTCCTGCTTCAGCCTCCCTAGTAACTAGGATTACAGATGCATGCTAATACACCCAGCTAATTTTTTTTTACAGTACCATGGTCTTCTAGTCTCCAGCATTTGTCACAGTTGCAATTATATATTTATTAGTGGAACTTTATAAATTATTATTAATGGCTATTTCTCTTAATAGGTTGCAAGCTCCATGAGGGCAGACGTCATGGCCTGTTTTTCTTCTGATGGTAACCCTAGTGGTCAGTCAAAGGTGTGACATACAGCACACATCTTATAAATGTCTGCTGAATAAAAGAGCAAATAAAAGAAAAAAATGAGTCAAATTTGTTCCCAACCTTACAGACTAGGCACAACAATGCATAAAATTAAAAAGTAAAATAACAACTAGCT